GCTCCCTGATAACCCGCCACTCTGATTGTGATAACGCTGATTGGGATAATGGTGGGGCAAGTGGAAAAGGCAAGGGGCAAGAGGAAAGCGGGAGGAACAACAGCGAGGAGGGGGAAGGGGTTGGGAGAAGTGGAGAAGATTGGGAGGGAGGAAGGCTCATGAATAAGGGTGGGGAAGAGCCTGTTGGATATAAAAGGCATCAGTTCATTGGTGCGAACTTGCCTCTTCTGCGAAAGTGTATTTTGTCTGTCACTTACGCGGTCAAAAGATATGCGCTGTAGGTTATTTTCTTTTCTTCAAGCTGTAGCGAAACTCTTCCAATACCTGGGGACTAGAAAGGGTAGATTGAATTCCCCGTAATTTTTTTCGAGCGCATTTCGACGATATATGATATTTGATGTCATGATGATTATGAAGGATCAGAAACAGATTATGAAAACCAACGACAGGAAAACTAAACTTTTTAAAGACTGCGCTAAAGGCGTGTTTGTCATCGTCTTTCGCCTCTGTGAAGTTGTCACACAATTTTTTTCGTCAGTCATCGTTATTGCATAGTATTAACCATGTGCTCGCAAGTTTTGCCGCACTGCAAATAGAATACGATCCGCCCTCCTTTAATTTTCAAAGAAATCCGTGTCATTCAATTTAGTTGTACAGCACTGGAGATATCACTTCCAGCCTCACTTCGGTCAAAGTCCCTTTGACCATAAATTATACTGAACAATATTAATCTCGTCTTAATTTTTTGTTTAGCTATCTGTCTCTACGGCTTTTGTTTCTATTCATTTAATTTTAATTTCGTTAGCAAAATGATTTTTATACAAGAGAAACCCTCCTCTATATTCCGGAATCAGTCAAATTGCTGTCTCTTTAACTGTTACAGTCACGTGTTTTAATAAGTATTACAAATGCCATCCCTTCTTGATTTCCTGATGAACAGGAAAATCGGAGATCCCCCTCATGATCATGTTAACTTGGGGAACATCTTTAATTGTTCAGCGCTCTGTGTATCAAAGGA